TCCATCCCCCGCCCAGACCCCCAGCTCCCAGGCCACATCTTGAATACTGCGTACATATGTGGTCTCCTCACCTCAAAAAAGATATACTGGCATTAGAAAAAGTTCAGAAAAGGGCAACTAAAATGACATGACAGGTTAGGCATTTTAGAACTCACTTCTAACCCTTAATTACTAATTGCAAGGTGACCCCAGCTCACTCAGAGTCACCAGAGCCTGATGAAATGCACCCTAGAATAGCCTAGGAGATGACTCAGTTGATCCTTCGAGATGTAGTGAATAATCTCAATTCCTTTCTCTCAAATGGCCACATCTTTAGCCATCCACCAATGCCAGTACTCATGTCATGTCTCCCCTTCCCCATGCCCAAAGGACTGTGCCAAATTCAGATGAGGGGTGTCAAAGTCAGACACAGGTCTCACAGATTTGTCCGACCACTCTGTTTATTAGCAAAACTGCTCTGCTAATACATCCAGAAAATGTGAGTACCATACACGGCTCAAACCCCTTTGATTTATACAGTCAAAAGAAAGCCAACTTAATAAGTTTAAAAGGTGGCAAAATTCCTACCCGGGGGGGAGGGAGACCAGGGACCGCGTGCGTGGGCCATGGATTGCGCAGCCACCTGTGCACATACGGTCATGTGCCGTGCCAACCTTGGGCAGGTGGCTGCAGCTGTGTGCCACATAGGCTGTGGCCTGATAGCCACACGCATGTGTGAAGAGACCTGACATGCTTCTGACCGTCTCAGCCGCACTACACATGGCACAGGGACACAGGTGAGGTCTCGGGGCAGCTCCCACTCCCGGGGAGAGCCAGACATCCTGACCATGGCCTCTGTACAAGCGTGTCGGCTCTGTCGGTGCAGCGCACAGTCAACCGCACCTCGCAGGAGGTGCTGGGCATCATCCACTGCAGCCCCAGGGAGAACTGACCACTCCCCTTCTTTCTCCAAAGCCACACCAGCTGCACGTGCAGGGCGCACCACCCCACCTGGGACATGCTCCTGCACCCAAGGGCTCCTCCAGACCACCAGCACGCGGCAAGGGTACCGGGACCAGCACCTGGGGGCCCTGCACTGCACTGCATCCTGGGTGCAGGAGGACCTGCAGCTCCGCCAGGAGCAGCTTGCCCAGGACCGTGCCACGTGCTCATACCTGCAGGCCCTGCTGCAAAGCATGCTGCCCCGTGCCCCCCCCAGCTACTGTTCCTCTTCCCACTCCTGCCCCCCCACCTCTCCCTCCTCACCCTCCTTCTCAATCTCCACACCTCCCACAACCTCCACACCCTCCTCCCCATCTCCCCGGGGACGCCGAGGCCCCCGCACCCACCGTGCTGGGAGACATGTGGCCCGACAAGACCCCCACCCCTGAGTGCTGAGTTTCCCCTCCCCCTTTTTCCCCTTGCTTCCCCCTTCCAGTGCCCTCCTCCCCTCTCCTACCCTCTTTCCTCCCCTATCCTGCCTCCTTTGCCCAGTCTCCCCAGAGTTTCATTCCCCCTCCCCAGTTGTGATAAATAAAGACCGTGTTTATGAAAAAGTGTGTATTTTATTTGACATCAGGAAGGGGGGCTAGGGAGGGGTAAGTGGAAGGACGTGAAGGAGGAATGGGGCACAAGCCCCCGGTGAGGAGGACCAGGGTGGCTCTGAGGGTTCCTTGGGGTGGACGCTCTCCCACAGGGCTTCCTGGATCCTGACAGCCCCCCGATGGGCCTCCTGGATGGCAGCCTGCAGAAAGTGCAGCCGGGCTGATGGCAACGACCCCACGAGATGCACTGGCGTGTCCAGGGACAGGTCTGGCTCCATGTTGCAGAGTGCCGTAGTGTCCCAAGTGAGGGCAAGCAGAGCACTCAGAGACATAAATGCTTTGCTGTCCCTCAGCGAAGTAGACCAGCAAGCAGAGAAACCTGAGAACTGTCTGTCCGGGATGGGGGGTCGGGTCCCTTTAAGCACAGAGCTCAGATAGCCTGAGGCAGCAGCCCCACACACTAAGTCCGACCCTGATGCCCTTTTGGCACTGGTTCCGGCCAGCCTTACCTTCGATTCAGGGTCCACTCAATGTGGATGCACTATTTTGAATTAGAAAAACGCTATTTCAAATTAGTTTTTGTGTCTAGAGGCATTATTTCGAATTGGCTTAATTCGAATTAACTATTTCGAATTAAGTTAATTCAAAAGAGCGCTGTAGTGTAGACATATCCATAGTTAGCTAAGCCAATGTAAATACATAATGTCACCACTACTGTTGTCACAGGAAAATGAACAAATTGCCCAGTCCTTGGGCAAGGTGGTTATTTCTACTATCATTTGTGTCTAGCAGCCACTGTGTCCAGTCCCAATGGCAAGATGAAGACGAAGACAGAATTTATTAATGAAAAGGGGTCTTTTTGTCAGAAGCAATAAGAAACTGAATGCATTTCATGAGGTCATCTTTGCTCACTATAGTCCTCTCCTTCAGCCTCCCAAAGTTGTTCTCCCTGTATTGTAACTAACTGAAATACTGTAAATAAAAAAAAAAAATAACAGCCCAAGGAAGGATGAGGGAACAGAGAAGCTTTTTCATGTTTATGGCATCAATTTTCAAAGGGTCTAAAAGGAAAGAACCCTGTCCCCCTAAATTCATAGTAGAAACAGCAGATTTCATTTAAAAACGAGAAGCATACCAACCTCTGGAATAAGTCTCAGATGCGTGCACACACAGTCACATATGAACAGCATTAGAGCATTAGACTCCCACCCTGCTGTTTTTACAATCAACAAAAAAGAGCTGGCAACAGAGAAAAGGCAATAAGGCATTTATAAAATGATGTTAATTGTATTTTCCAGACTCCTTTTGCCTGGCATCCAGAAGAGAAAAATGTATATTGAAAAATTGCTAACATACAGTACAGGCAAATAAAACTTGCCTTATCTAGCAGCAATCTGTTGTTCTTGAAAATCCCAAAGAGTCTCTAAAGATCATGACTTTTTTTTAAAAAAAATCAACACCAAAAATTCAGACAATTTTGTTTTACATTTATATTGAACTTTTGATCTAAGAAGATCACAGCACTTTACAAATGAAATTACACAAGAGGACATAATGAATATGGCAGTTCATTTAAAAGTTTTAAGTGAGATACGTTTGTAACCAATATGCATCTATTAAAAATAAATATACTTTGTTTATTATATAGAGGCAAATAAAAGAAATGCAATGCAATAAATCAAAGCAGCCATGTGGAAAGTACCCTACATGCATGTAGTTCTTCTGTACTGATTTAACACCAATGCTGAGCTACAGCAGAAT